CGTTTCTTTTTTTAAAATTTCATAAAAATTGTTTGTACACATTCCGACCTCCTTAGAATTCGTCTTTGCTCGACTGTAGTTTCATTCTACAATTCTTTATTACAAAACTATGCTTAAAATGTTTGCCTCAAATATGCCTTATTTGATATTTTCGTATATGATGAAAATAAATGTTTATTATGAGGTTAAATGTCATTTTCATTGTGACGTAGCATTTCATTTTCTCTGAGAGCAACTTGACCCGTTGGCAGCGGGTTTTTAGCGGCATTACACGACGCGAAAGCGGGAACATTTAAAAAAATCCATTTATAATCCTAATTGCTTCCACTGCATTTGTTTATTAAACCAATTAGCTTTTTGTAATTTAATTATCATTTAGTAGTTCTCTAACCGTTGTTACACGTGTCAATATCTAACAAAACACAGATAATGTTCTAAACGGGGATTTTGGTCTCAGAAAACCACAGTAATCTGTAGAACTGGCAAATACGAATGATTAAGTTCAAAGAAGAAACAAGACAGACTTTGTATTTACGACTAGAAAACATTTATGTATTACAAACGACGAAATAACTGCAAGGACAATGACAATCCGATTCCTTTAATTCATTACTATTTATAAGGTCTACGTCTGTTTAATCAATTACAAGGAAGCAAATTCAACTCTCCTCAGAAAGGCCAGAATCTAAGACAAGTTCCTAACTGTCTCCACTTGATAACAATAACTTTGCAAATCGTGATTACTTCTAAACTATCCTTGAATAGCAACATTTAATATAGCTACAGTAATGCTATTTAACTATTTAAAAACACTAGGCGCAAAACATAAAATAAGTTTCAAAACTAACTAATCATACTAATATTATAAATGCGTATTAGATGGATGGATGCATGTTTGCTATAAGATATCTCTAGAACGGATAAACGGACGTCTCTGTATTTTGGCAAAGATGTAGAACATAGTCTGGAAGAACATATATGCTACTTAGTATGTTTTTTTAATTGCGCATGGAAGCAGTCGCGGGCAACAGCTAGTAAAGAAATATTTAACATGACTTTTTTATAAGAGAAGGGGCAAACGACGAAACGGCTTGAAATTATTTCGATAAAGTTCTACAGCATAAATCTTTTTCATGAACATACGTAGTTCCTTATTAAATACTTGGTAAAATAATAATTAATTTTGTGTATGAAACTCGCTACATAATATCTCATTAGGGGAGTTACGAAGTGTACTAATTTCCGTATCACGAAGATTCGATGCTTGCCTCACCTAGCGATCCATTTTGTGAATTAAGATCACAAGATAATTGAGGATTTAGTCAATTTTAATGAAGTCTTATTAATTGCCGATTAAGAAATATTCTTTGATGAGTGTTTTATCCGATAAATATCTAAAAGACCGTAATAGGCTTTGAAGAAGAAGCAAGGAAAGACTTTTATTTTTTATTTTTAATTCTCGGCTTTCCCTACTTAATTTTATGCCGAAAGTCATGTCAATTATGAGACAAAATAAGTATAATTTACGCTATATTTACCGTGGGTTTCTGATATCAAGTTATGACTTGATATCAGAAACCCACGGTAAATTGTTATTGATGTTATTTTATGTTTGTTATCTCTGTGTTGTCAAATATAAAGACAGTGAATACATATGTTTTATAGTCTCTCCAGTACTCCAAATCGAGTTCAAAACAATATATTTATTTCCTTTATGAATAGTTGTTCAAAACATGATATTATTTACATTGATACTTCGTGCAGGAAATAATATAGACGTCGCAAACACATCAGATATCCTCCGGGCTATATTGATTATATTGTTGTGAATTCTATAAAGCTTTATCGTCAATCAAATTTCGTGTAATCATCATCAGCTCACTATACGTCCACATCGAGGGGCTCAGAGTCTACCCTAAGTTTTTTAGGGTCATTAGGTATGGCCTATGGGTCAACCTCGCTTGCCAAATGCGGGTTGGTTGACTTCACACATATCTTTGAATTTCTTCTCAGATATGTGCAGGTTGCATCACGATGTTTTCCTTCACCGTAAGAAAATAATATATATGATAGTAATATGTTTCAATATCTTTCGTATGATCCACCTTTACCTTAGGTTTCTACTACTGAAACTATAGTTTTGGTTAATGGACACTATGAAAATACTTCGGCCAGTAAATATTTACAGAATGAAACATTCTAAGATTTAAGAAGAATGGCATACTGGCCAGTGAACTTTTGCATTTTATATAAAAAGAAGATTTAAAACAGAAAAGAATCGTACGAGATTTTTTTAAATGTAATCTTAAACAGCAGAACAGAACAGCGAAGTCACAATCGTTCAGGGCACGATCGAGGGAAGTTTAAATGTCAACTGTCAAAAGCCGAGACAAATTTTGGTTGCTGCATCCTAGTCGTAAAGTTACCACTCAAATAAAATTAATTATTATACATAAGTACTAAGTTAATATTACTAGTTTTGTGACCATGTAATTTTGAAGTTTGATTTTCTTCTACTGTGTTTATTAAAACAAAATAACAAAAGAATTATACCGCATTTTAAATTTCTTTCCTAGCTTCTCCTAGATTAGCGATACTAAGTAAGGCTTAAATTTAATTAACTTGGACCGTCTTATATCGAGATAAAACCAACAAAGAGGTTTTATAAACTTTCAGCATGATAAAAGCAGGGATGGACGTAAAAGTTCCTTAGGAGGCAAACTACACCGGTAAACGATAATTAAGTTTTTCTTTACTAAACGGAATCTAAAAAATACATACATACATTACCGTTTATTTATTTTTTTCTTAAAAAAAAAAAACAATAAAAAAGCCAGTATTCGAAACCATGGGCCAGACATTTATTCCCTTCACTACAAACTCCCTTCAGCAATTAAATGCTTTGTGTATTTCTGATTTAATTTAGAAATAAGAAATTTTAATTCTTCGAACGAAATAAATGTTTAGTTTATTTTTATTTTTTTATTGCAGTAATTTTGATTTTACCATCAATCGTTTAAAATATATCTTAGTATAAAATTTCTACCTTTGTGTCAACCCTATTTGTACTGTACATACCTGTCAACCCTAATTTCTACGTTGACATAATACTCAAAATCCATTTCATTCAAAGTTCATTATGAACTCAATTATAAATAAAGCTCATAAGATTTCCTCGCAACTTTATCTGTTGCTTGTTTTTGAAGATTTATAATTTTTCTTGTCCTATTTACTTTTTTGATATAAAAACTTTACGTATCTCCGTAATAAATGACTGGAGTTCAAGCATTTCTTTATCTCATTATTGTTGTTAAACCAAATGACATTCTGCCAAAATGTTGAAAGTAAACTTTCATTGGTTTTTTTATAATTGGAAACATTAACAATGTTCTATTTTCAATATTTTTCGGTTACTACCATTGAAAAGTATCAAGGTCATTAGAGTTATACCTCAATCTGATACCACGGAACAGTCGCCGTAGGTTTCTGAGTCCAAAAGCTCTGTATAAAACATATTATCGTCACCCCTGTTATCTTTAACAAAACAAAGATAATCTGCATAGATCTCGCTAAAATTCGACGAATTCGAAGTTTACTTTGATTCCGCGCGGACGGAATCGCGGGCGACAGCTAGTAGCGTATAAATACGTAGTTTTTCCGTATTTTGATACGCTATTTACATGTAAGAGTACATAATATTGATCAGTTCACGACCTTCAAATTCAGTTGACACGCGCTGTCGTCGACCAGGCTCAAGCCCACAAATCAGTGTTAATGGACCGACTTCCTGCAATCAAACATTCAAGGAACGCCCCCTAGTTTTACCGTCGACATTAAATAGTAACTTGTCTGAACATTTTTTCTAAGTTGCGAAAAACGTAAAAAAAATTCCAACATTCTTAAAACTTACACTTAATTCTTAGTTCACATGTTTTGGGCAAATGTTTCCGCAGTGCGAATTCACGGTAACATTTTGTACAGCCGTCAGAGACGTTAAGTTGTCAATTCTATCAAATATAAAAAAAAAACAGTTTATATGCAAACGTAGAATAATTAATTTGTAACATCACGTTAAGTTTTAGTTATTTATAGGTTAATTATATGTACAATTCTTTTGTAAATTATAAATTATTTTCACGGTATTGTATATTTCAAGAAGAAATGTTTAATTAACGTAACGTTAAGTTCGTAAATAATATAAATAGTACACTTGTTAACTTAATTTATTAACGTACAAACGGCTTATAATAATATATTGCTAGGAATTAAAAATGTTCAGAACTGTACTTATGAAAAAAATTAAAACACGTTCGTTAGGCCGCTACAGTCCCTTGCGATTCACGTGCTGTAATTAAAATTAAGGACCCTTTTGAATATTAAAAATTGCCGCGAATATTACAAAATATGTTGTGATTATTTTTAATTAATACGTTTTATTTACAACATGCAAACGGTGTTGGATTTTGGATTTAATTTGAGTAATAACAGGCTTACGTCTGTTTACACTTTTTTTCTGTTTATATCGCGGAGAAGTAATCAGAAGTCAGATGTCTATAGGTACGTCTTCACTTTATTTATATATACACATTGAAAGAGATGTAACTTTAATGCATTTGTTAAGACAAAATGCTGGTAAGTATCCAAATTTCACTAGTATTCTCTCTCACTCTTTTTATATTTTAATGAGGCAAACGAACAAGTGACCAAAAGAACACTCCGAATTAGCAAAGCGACCCCTGCGCATAGACATCCGCAATTGCAGAAGCGTTACCTTAAATCGAAGGAGGAGATGCACAGAAAGAAAATAAGTTCCCTACCTATGTATGCCTGCTCCAACAAATTATCCCCTTCCCATCCTTTCCTAATAAAAAAGAAAAAGGAAAGCGGACGCTGCCTTGGTAACGTGGAGTTACTTCCACTGCACGCCTGTCTTCAGTATGGTCATGGCATTGTACCCTATCTTTTCTATGTTTATAAACAAGGAAAATAAAATAAAATTCGGTTAAAGATAGTGCTTTATTCATTACAGAATCTATACAGTATTTACGAAATACAAAATGTCAACAAGAGGCAACGCATTACGACTGACAAATAAAGGCTGTGCCACACCTGCGAACGAATCAGCGACTTTATCGAGAATTCAATATCATTATCAGTCCTTACTTAACGCCTAATAATCGTTTTTTTAGTCACTGTTTTAAATGCGGTAACTATTAACAAATAAATAAGGTAACATAGAACTAAGGCTACATTCACAGTAAATCCGCGAGCGCAGTACGTTTATTTAAAGGTTGTTCTCCCGCTTTGGCATAATTATCTTTGGTATACAGTTAACACTTTATGGATCGATATGACAGTAAGATCAAATAAAAAGTCTATTAAGATTTCAATTTAAAAAGACACATTTAAACACGTTTTTTAACTTCTCTGCAGTAGTCGGATGAAAACGCATCGTAGCACGCGATTTTAATGTGAATGAGTCTTAACAGCAGACACAGACAATCTAGGAGAGGACGAATTAAGCTTGGTGTGTCTACAGCTTAGGTTTTATTTGCGGAAGTTGCTTACAAGGTATGAATTAAAAACCACTATAGTCTATTTACATTGTTGTACTAATGTCAAATTCTTTTAAATCTATTTCTACGAAACATATTTTGTCTAAAAAGATCTTTGTTTAGCTGAATACGGTGTCGTGTCTAAAGATATGGTATACATATATATAACTACGTTCTATTATTTTTGCCGGAGTTATTCTAGTTGTGATTGTATCGTATAAATTAATTGAATTGTAAACAACATCCGCAAAATATCGGCATCCACGTTACACCGCATTCCCCGCGCTGTGCATTCCGTTGCCGTTCAATGGAATGGTGTTGAACTCATCTTCCAAGTCTTCGGTTTTTCTAGATAAAATAAAAGATTATATTAATATTGAACATAATAAATAAATCTATACTTAGTTTAGTTTAATTTTTTTACTCTGTAATATAAGATTTTATACGATATTTAAAGTGCTGTGTTTAAATCTATACGTATTAATAAAATTGAAGTCTCTGTAGTAATAAAAACTAATTTTGAAATTCCTGTCTATCTATCTATCTGTTTGTCCACAACGCCGTGTTTGTTCTAGGCAATCTACAGAACGTCTAGACCGATTTTGACGAGACTTGGACAAGTAACTGATGCACGGCATATTATAGGCTACTTTTTTAGCACTGCTTTGACGAAGTTGAGGGCAACGGCTAGTAATAAATAAAGTTTATTCATTCCAGTTACCTAATTTATATAAAAGGTAGATGCCACACGGATATTCAGACAGCGGCATAACGCTGCGCTTGAAATCATTTGTTTTTATTGGGAAAAAGGCTGGTATTAGATATGAATCTTACCGTTTCCTGTATTTATATATGATGAGTACAATGAACGCGTTGCCGATGAACAGCGCCGCTATCAACAGCGACGGGATCACGATGTCTGCACACATAACACATATATACTTTAATATACTCAGAACAGCCACCTAGATTTGTAGGTAGTAATTGCTAATTACCACTTAGTACCTTGTCATCTTTAAATATAAGGCTCCGTACACAGCGTGAGTGTTTGAAATTAATATTGCATGGCTACATCGCGAGTATAGCGTTGCGCGCGCTCCGTGCACATTAAATCGTCGATGCATGTTGCCTATTCAGTCAGCCAACTGTATAGATTTGTTGCGCCATCTTGAAAAGTCGCTGACGACGATTTTGAAATGTCGGCAACACTCTGTACGAACCCCTATGTATTGCGTATATATTTGGGTATTAAAATCGCCGTGTTTCGAATTTCACATTCCCTTGTGTACTAAGGGCCTCATAGTAGACTTGAACTTCTCGACACCAAGACTTTATTCTTACACCTCTTTCACTACATTAATACTAAGAACACATGCCAGTAATATATAATTACTTTATTTATTTAAAATGGTAGTGTATTAAAATTACGTTGATGGATTCTATGTGGTATCAGGCAATTTCCACACGCGAAAAACACATTAACTCGTTCATATGCAGATATCTTTCTATTTCTAATAGTAGGGCTTTTTAAGTATATTGTATTTTAGTTCAACTCACCGACTATCATGTTTGCCTCGTTGTGCGGCAGTTTTGTGCCTTTATCTGAACCTTCCGATAATGAATCGTTCCCGACGACCTTTATAGTCGTCTCTTCTGAAACAAAATTTTAATATATTAAAAACATACACGTATTTTAATTCTCCAATAAGAATTAGACCTCTTCTTATGATCTCTTATCACTCTTTTGATTGATTTTTTAATACACATTTCATCATCATCAGCGCACTATACGTCCACACCGAGGGGCTCGGAGCCTACCCTAAGTTAAGGTTGATTAGGCCATAGTCAACCACGCTGGCCAGTACGGGTTGGTTGACTACACACATATCTTTGAATTTCTTCTCAGATTTTTACAGGTTGCATCACGATGTTTTCCTTCATCGTAAGAACATCGGATACATATGTAAATCGAAAATCGAAAAAACATTGGTACATAGCGGGATTCGAACCAAGGACCTGCAGATTGCAAGTCAAGTGCTTGATCCCTGAGCCACCGACGCTCAACGCGTTTATTTTAATTTAATTGTTTCTAGATTTATTTATTAAACGTACATAACGTACCGTCTGTTGAATAAATAATAACAGATAATAATTTATACCAATGCTTTTCCTCGACACTAATCCCATTATACACAAATATTTGAAACAATACATAACCATAATATACAAACAATATTGTTATAGAGTTAGATATAAATAAGCGCTTTATATTTTCTCCAATCCTTTGTCATACACATGTAATTATTCTACCTATCGCCCGCGACGCGGAAACAAAAAAAATATTTTTTTAATTAGCAGCCTATGTTACAGATTATGTACACCTATGCCAAATTACAGCGACATCCATGCAGTTAAAATGTTTTTTTTTTGTTTTACAAATGTCTAATTAAATGCATAGAAGCCAGAGGAGATATGAATAGAAAGGAGACAGGAGAAAATCCTAAAGGAGCACCTCTCAGTGTTGAAGTGGCGCTAGCTTTAAGACACAAAATTAACAGCGTCCTAAGAAGCCTTCACGTAGAACTAACTAGGTCATAACGTCATGTTATAAATTTTATTCTCTAGGAAATAAAAGAGCTACATACTAATTAATGGAACAACTATTTGTAATTAATCGACTAGTGTTGTTCATATAATCTATCGATAATAAATCTATGGATGCCGATCTTTAAGTGTAGATTTTATAATAAATTAAATTGAAAAATAAATAAAGACAAAAGTCCCTTATAATATAATTAATGTTTAATATAGTACGTTGCTGTATTAATCCTTGATTTGTTTGTATAACCGTAAAAGACACCATGATTTTTCCTCAGGCAATTGTTGAAATCTAATCAGAAGAATGTTTATTTTTGTAAAGGAATTTTTATATTTTAAAATTTTCATACAGATTGTAGGTATAATGCGTATAGTAATCATTTAACTGTACCGCATCAATTAGTTAAGTTTTATTGGGGGTAAAAAGTCATAAAATAATAACGACAATGACCCAAGGTTCATTAACAGAACAATTCAGAAAGGCAACAATAAAACACGCGATGGCTTCGCTCTACATTGTATACAAGTGATTAAATAAAATATCACAACTACGTTGTAATTAAAAACGAACAGTAGTATCGCGACTGTAATCAGGAATCTTTTATAAAACGTACCAAAGCGGGACGACGCCAACTCGGTGCCGTACCAAGAGCTATAAATTACAGTATTGTCGGTACGGTAGAGTACAGGTCAGTTCGGTAAAGAAAATAAGAGCGTCGTCAGAAAGTACGCTGCGAAGTGCTCGCGACCACATTTAACGAGTTTGATTATCACGACCTTTTACAACAACTAGTGATGGACTCCTTTGATATTAACTTTTAAATCATAATTTTCACAGCTTTATTTCTATGGTAATTATCATTTCTTTCTATTTAAACCTCATATGTTCAGCGTGTAAAAATTATGCGCACTAGCACAAAACAAATCGACGTCTTTTTTATTTATCTTTATCAACATGGGAGCAGCATTATTCTAAAAAGCCGGTCAACCGGGAAACAGTCCTACAGAATTTGGTCCTTCAAAAACCGACAACACAAGAATATTCGTATTAAATCAATTGAACCCACCAATGTCAAGATTGATATTTCAATAATCCAATTATCTTACTTATATATACCATAAAAACTTAGGAATACAAAAAATCGAAAAGTATCGATAATACAAGTCTTAATTGTAGGAACATCACTAGCTTATGTCGGCTTTTATACGAAGTCTTGAATTATTACTTTCACGTTAAGTTGACGACGCGACGGTGGCGATGTCGGGATCTTTTGTGTAATTGCTTGTAAGCCGGAAATGGGCTCGAATACGGGAGGGGGTAGAATACACCCCGCATTAGTACCCCCTAGATGTAATCAGATTGGCACAACTCTTACAGCCGAAATGCGTGACAGATCCGACAAGTAAAATCTATTAGTAACATGGAAAGTTTACGTAATACAACGTAATACTAAACAGTAATTACTAAGACGTAAGTTTGTCTTCCATCAGGGCCTACTTCATTTTTCAACAGAGAAGTTCTAGAATTAGTGAGACAATTACTAAAAATTTACAACTTTTTTCACACCCAATAAATAATTTGTTTCGATTTTATACTCATAATGAGTATTAGAAAATATGTTTAACAGCTGGACCGTTTGCAAAACAGATAACACAATATTTGTATTTAAAATCGTGGCTTATAATTTGACCACATACGAAACTGCAAATCACTACTGGACATAGATTTACACGTATTTTATTAAAAATAAAAATAAAGACAATTTAATTTGGCCGCATTATACCAGAACAAAAGGCGTGCTAATTTGTGAGTTATAGAGGTCTGATAAAATAACACAATGGGACCTACATCCTAACTGTGGTAGTCAGTGTGTTAACATTGATAGTGGAAACGTGTTTATCATGCTATAATTAAAGTCTTTGTTACTGTTAATTATGAACACAATTACAATGTTTATAATTATTTAGAAATTCATTAATATAAAGATAACTTAAACAAATGATAGTTACATAGGAAGATATAAAAGAAAAACTTAAAAATAAATCTGTAGAAAACATTTTCAAGTAACCAAAACTTTAGTTCCTGGGACTTTACAATTAAATATAACGACTTGTTATTGGCGTTCTCTTTGATGTTGATTTTAATTTTTAAGAAAAAATTAAATTTAAAAATTAATTATACACATTGTAAATAAGCAAACATTTTAGTTGTTTAGACGACGTAGGACTATGCCTTAAAATAGCGCCTCTCTTAAAACAACAAATACGTAAGCTAGGTTTTAAAATTCGATTTGATTTCTGACCCAATATTTACACATTTATAAAGGATTCATGTTGAACAATACCTCTATACATTTGTACTGAAAAGTCGTAAAACTCCTCGGTCACCGGTCATAAAAAGAAACATAAACAATCCCATGCTTAGCTATTTTAAATATTTGCGAGAAAATCAATCTATAAAGACCCGATGTGGAATTACAGAGTCGATAGAGAAATTTCGTTATGTTTTTACAACAAAAAAAAAATCTAGAACATTGCTGTTACTATTTTACTAAATCAATTTTTACGTATAAATAAATTTAAACAGCATCCTATCTGCTTGTTTATAAATAAAAAGTACAATAGTAGAAATAAACAGGCAGGAAGGAAAGTTAGGTGTCTTTTAAACAAAATTAAAAAAAAGTAATAAACTTCGTCTGACGAAAGAACGCTTTTGGTGTGAAGCTAAATTTAAAAATAGAACACCAACTGACGCCAATTCCGTTTTTAATAAGACGTTTTAATGAAATAGGAATGTTGCATGAATTTATTTATTTTATGATAATTAAATATTAAAATTATGTGATACCCTTCGTCATATAACAAATACTATTGCTTTTTAAACGTATGCTTATTATTATATTTAATATTTGTGACAAATTGTTCCGATAAAAAGTATTGTTATTCTCATTATCAAATTTATTCAAAGCGTAACAAGATAAAGAATTTTATTTGCATGTTAACATGCTCGTTATAAATTATGTGATTCAGATTGTAATGACAAATAATAAAAATAAATGGTTAATTTTTTATCGTACTAAAATATGTTTTTTTAATATTATAATAATATCACTTCGAAATAAATGTAATTAAGTTAATAATTAAGTTTGTTAAAATATAACATTAATTTTATTAATTTAAAACGAACTAATTTAATAAGTCTTCTTCACGTATTGATAATAATATATGATTTTTAGTTATTATTGTTATTTCAAACTAAAACGCTTACCCAAAACAACACAAATAAAAAAACACTATAGATCACTATAAAATGACTAAGAAACTAAATTATTAAATAAAATAACACCCAAATAAAATATATGTTAGCTATAAACTCACTTCGTGTGTCGACACGTGGTTTCTTTCACCAAAAATGATAGAAACGTCGTACGAACGAAGCGATGCTATGGCGACTAACCGCGCGAGTTATTACGCGACTAAATACGGAATACCCTTGTATTTACAGAAACGCAGTTGAACCAAAAGCCCTAAACGATAAAATAATGTATTCAGATAAAGGAATTACTACTCTGTTCCGTTCGGATAAGGCTTATTTTTATTGCTTGCGTTGTTATTCCCTTATAGTGGGTACGAACATTTACGTATATACCATCTCACTCTTATGCTACTATAAATAGGACTTTGGAAAGGGATAGCTATAGTTTTGTAAGAAAGCTTGCATTTATACCGATTGTAAAAATGTATAGAACACGAGACGTTCCTTAAGGTTTAAAGTTTTTCGGTATTAAATATTTTGTGAATAACCAAACTAAAAAATTTTAATTAGTTGCAAAAAATTGTAAACACATTAAATATTTTTAGGCAGAAATTAATGACAAATAATACTAGTAACTTATTAAAATTACTATGCATAGTAAAAATACACATACCTATACACAATGGAATTGTCCCATTCCATCTATTATCTTCAAAGCACCATAGCATCCGCGCCCTTTGTCGCGTATCAGCGAAAACAAAGTTCACATTGCACATGTAGTGCGCAACATCTTCGTTACGGTACACGAGGTAACCATCAGATGGCGCTGGTAACGTAACACAACCCAAACCTAAAAGGATTTTTTTAAATTTTATTACGACATTCAAGTAACAAATATTAAAATAAAAATAAATTTTATCGGACTGATAATACCAATGTCCCTTTGTCACATTGCTATTTTAGAACGATATAAAAGCGACGTTGTTCTAAAAAGTTGACTGCCATCTATTGGCAAGTAGTAGAACTAGGGCACTTTCCCTAGATTACTTACAAAATCATTCGACAGATGGCGCTAACACTCAACAGAAATGGAAACCCTAAAAGTCACTTCTTCACAATAGATGGCGCTACTTAGTAATTTCGTAACCAAACATTTAGAAATTAAAATATGGTTCCAAATTTTATCTTGGAAAGAAAAATAAAAAAAAATCATGTCTTACTCTTATAATGTAGTAAAACGCCTCTCTTTGGAAAGGCGCCTTGAGAATTGGCTTCTACGATGACCTCTAAGGCATTCGTCGTGGAGGTCAGTCTCAGAGGCAAGTCTACCTGCTCACAAGTGGACAGCAGCGACTCACCATTCGAGTCCACCACAGACACGAAATCTGTACATTGGTCTTCAAATGGACCAATACCTGGAAAGTGAAACAATTTTACTTGTACATTATTGTTGATGAAATTCGCACCCTATATGTATGTATTCTTAGAAACGATATTTAAATAAAAATAACACTAGAATAATTAAACTTAAAAACATATAAGTATAAAAATTTCTTGTTTACGTAAATTATCATACTTACTTCTTAAACTGACATCCAATAGGGATATTCGGATGCGCTGTTCGGGGTCTGCTTTGAGCCGCCACCGGCACTCGTCTCCAACGTAGAAGTGTGGATATCCGGGCGTCCGTATGTAACCCTCGCTGTCCGGACCCGACGCTGCGACAAACACTTCTCGATTGCAGTAGTGTACTGCTAACGAATCTGTCAACAAGTGTCAACATCATTCTTAGTGCTATGAGTATACTCAGAAACTTTAAATGGACGCTTAGCTATTATAGTATTTTAGTGTATTAAGTATAAGAAATGTACTTTAGCCTTTCTGGAGATACCTTCAAAGAAACATCCATCCATCTAAACATTCGCATTTAAAATATTCGTAAGAAATAAGATATAATTTATTAAACGTGCTTGAAGCATGTCAATAAATTATTTTTAAAGCCTTTAGGCTTCACTTGTTCGTGATTCGCGCCCTCATTCAAGGATTGAAACTTAATCCGTATTGCGATTCCAAAATCATGTTCCTTCCAAAATAGTTACTATAATAATGACCAGTACCTTAATACTTGAACGAGTAAATAAAAAAAAAACCTACTCCGAATGTTTCATTAGGAGCTGTTCATATTTTAATGTTTTGTTTGTAATTTGTAGGACAATTAAAATGAATAGAAGCAAAGAATAGACACATTAAATGTTTCCTTAGACATTTAACTACGTCATAAAAAAGACTAAAGCGTTTCCATCCACTCACCGCATTGACGTGATTACTAAAATGTCCAAATTATAATGCACACAGAGTCAACGCACTTCTAAAAAGTGTGACAGTCGTAAAAAAAAAACATGACTATTATTACTTCAGGCGTGAAGTGGAAGCAATTCCGCGTTTCGTCTGATGAGTGTGCGTTCCGGAGGCCTAATTTAGTCCTCCCTTCCCACTCTTTTTCTTATAAGGAAAGGATGGGAGTGGACTTTCCGGATAAAAGAATGCATGGACAGGGAAAATATTTTCATTCTATGCATCCTCTCCTCCGTCGATTAAAGGTAGGCAACGCATATGCAATTGCGTATGTCTATGGACAACGGCCACTTCGCTATTTCAGCGATTTTAGATGGCCGCTCGCTCGTTTGCCACCATATGATATAAAAAAAATATATTGATTCGTTTAGTATTCTGAACTATGATAGATATTAAAAAATTAAATACTAGAAAAGACTAGTCATTTTATCTTACTTTTTACTTTACTTACTTATTATATTATAAATGCGAATGTTTACATGTATGGATGATTGTTTGAAGGTATCTCCAGAACAATTGAACAGATCACGTTGTAATTTGGCATATACATAGAACGTAGTCTGGAAGAAAACATAAGCTACTAATAATGTTTTAATTAATTACGCGCGGACGGACGTCGCGGGCAAATGCTAGTAGTATAATGTTTGCTCGTAGACTTTTAAATTAAACTTAAATAAAACTTAAATGAATGTACTAAACAGTATGCGAAAAATTATCGATGAAAGCCAAAAACACTGTACATAATGAAGCACACTTTGTCATGGTAGATAGAGCACGGCGCTGCTCAACGTGGATTATCTGATAGCGAATAAACATTAACGTTTCAGATTTAATACGGAAAATGAATGTAGCGATGAACGACAGTACAATCAAAGAGTTAGTTTCGCTATTATATATCGCAAAGAGGTAACGCTTCCAGTATCTTGCATGCAGCCGTTCTAGAGATACTTTCAAACAAACATCCATCCATCCTAACATTTGCATTTAAAATATTCGTAAGATTAAGAAGTAACATTTTCCAATAGTTATATTATATCAAAGAGTACATGATAAAGCACTTTTTTAACTAATCCATCCATCCATTTTGTTTATTATTAAATAAATGTATATTACTTCAGTAAATAGACAAAGACCCTCGAATATGTTATGGTTTTTAACTTCAATATCCGATATATATTAGAGATCTAATTTCAGATATCCCTTTATTTCCATCGATACAATTTGTCAGAGTCGTCCGTGCGAACTGATTTTATCCACGATAATGAACAGTTTCATCTATAAATAAATTAAAATTATACGTTCTGTTATAACCCTACATATTATGCAATGGCTGCACAGTCAGCAAATGCACACTGACGAAGTTTTTCCATTGAAGTCAGCTAAATTAGTTTACCTTATAGGTACGGTTACATTTTAAATTCAGTCATAATCAAAAGCTCGCGATTTAAACACATAATCCGAATTCGGAGACCAGTACAGTCGAAATAATTTGTAGAGTTAATTAAAGTTGTTCAAAGGTCTTGCGAGTTTTTTTTTAAAGATCCTAAGTGCCGGCCGCCTAACAAAAATTGGTGTCAGAACTGTAAAATAATGTTTAGCACAAAATTATCTTTATAACAATGTGTATTTGCCAAAAGAAATAAACTTACTAATATATATGCGAATGTTCAGATATATGTATGAATGTTAAAGGGTATCTCCAGAAGGAAATGCGATAAAATTTGTTACAGATGTGAAACATAGCCTAGAAGATATAGGCTACTAATTATGTTTTTTCTTTATTACACGCTGACAGAGTCGCGGGTGATAGCTAGTAGATTTATAAATATAAAGAGAGAAAAGTTTCTTCCAGTAAAAAGTAAATCGGGATCTAAAGAAGGATCTGTTTCGTAATTTTGTCGCAATCTTTTTACTCAAAAAAGATACGCATGATTTTGCAATCCCATTGTTGCAGTAAATGCAATAATTTCTCATGTCAGCAAAATTCAACACGTGCTTACGTGCCTTTCAAAGTATAGTAGCACTCCATTATCAACACCCCAATTTTGAAACATTTGGGGTAAAGCGTAACTATTTATTGGCAACGATGTAAACTAAGTTAGTTAAAACTATGTAGATAACGTATGTAACGTATTTGTATGATAATTCTATAGTAAAGGGAGGTCTGGATAATTTGGTTTAATAGAATAATGGAATGGCTTATATAAGTTTCGATTCCAATCGTTTACTTCCATCGATTGTTTTTCGATTTACAAAAGTTGAAATTTAATTTCGTACAGTTTAAATATTTTCTGATTTTTTATAATGCGTACATGACGACGTGAACATTAGTCGAAAATTTTTATTTGCATATATAAAACTTTATATTATTAGAAGTTATGAATAGAAATAGAAAAATAGGAACTTCGGCTTGACTTGCAATCTGCACGTCCTGGGTTCGATTTCAGATTTACATACGTACATTTATCCGACGTTTTTACGGTGAATGAAAAAATCGTGATGCAACCTGCACATATCTGAAGAAATTTATAGATATGTGTGAAGTCAACCAACCCCTCACTTGGCCAGCGTGGTTGACTATGAAATCACACTTAATTTACGGTAGGCTCCGAGCGCCTCGGTGATGATGTGTTGTCAAAGATAATGAGAGGGATGACGGCATGTTTTGTACAGAAATTTGGGACTCAGAAACAGTAAGTGGTTCTTTTTAAGTATGTTGTCCGCTCTGTATATGGCTATCATTTATATAACTACAATGTCAAACAATTACTATAATAAATTATATGCAAGTCAGCAATGCGCCTGGCGTTAACTAGCTAGCAATAAATCACTTCTTACATGGGTTACCCTGGTGTTTCACACGCGGTCAGATTATCATAAATGTGGAATCAATCGGCACGTGCCTTGTAAATTGCGTTTAGAATAATACTAAGGGGATAAAATGATTTTTTTGCAAAGAAAAAACATTTTATGGCAGTCTTATGATAAAATGCAGATACGAATTAGCGTAAAAATATTTTTAAATAATTATTAATATGTAAAATAATATTCAATCCTTTCATTTTCGTAATCGAAATAAATTATTCAATCTTGGTCCAAAGTAAAAGGACAATTTCATTACACGACAGTGTGCTAAGGTTATTTAGCGAATTAAGAATGAAATTTCACAAAAAAAATTGTTTAAATTGTTGGCTGTTCATGTACACAATAACATAAATTACATACAAACACGAATTTCCTTAACGTAGACATAAACAGCTGATACACTGCAGGCTTATTTTATTATCGAGCGTCAGATGTTTCCCCAATCCAATGCCACTATGACACACATCTGTCACATTTCAACGCACAAATCAATTTCACGCCCCCGTTGACATCTGCTATGTAGAGTAATAAGGCCCTAAATACTGCCCTGAATACGGCCCTGGATATGGACACAAAATAACATTCTTTGAACGAGTTTGAACTTTTTTTAAATAATGTAACTGGCAGGTACAGAACTTACTAAAGATAGTTTTTTAATTATCATAGATCTATAAAACAAAAGAATTGCGTAATTTCCTAACAAATTTCTTACTAATCTTACTAATATTATAAATTCGAATGTTTTGATGGATGGATGAATGGGTTTTTTAAAGGTATATCTGAAACTGCTCAACGGATCTCGTTTAATTTTGACATAGATGTAGAACATAGTATGAAATAACACGTAGGTTACTTATTAAGTTTTAATTTTTAAATCCGCGCGGACATACTCATGGGCTTTAGCTAGTAAAGCATATTTTCGTGTCTTTAATATAAAGCGTAATATCCAATCATATAGGCTTTACCTACCATCAAAACAGGCGTATTTAATAGATACCACACCCGGTGACCAGGCCACTGCTGGAGGGTAGTCTTCTTCCAGCAAGAAATTGCAGTGGTTGACTCCTGTACATCTGGAATCAAAGGAAAAATATGTCAAAAAAATTACCACAATTCTACGACTGTCAGTCGGCAAAAATCTTCAAGTACAGCTAGATGTGGGAAATCACAGAAATAAATACAAGATTTAAAAATAAACATTATTTATCTTGGTAACTATTTTTATTGGTAGCAATAAAACTAAAGTTTATACATTTAATACTTAAACTTCAATAATCATTTATGAGTTCCAAATAATTGCTTAATGTGAAATAAACTGATATATAAACACGGCTAAACACTCACGTATATACGTCCGGTGGCGGCACCGACTAGTTTCGAGCCCATGGGGGGGCCCTTAATCAGGATGAGTGGTACTGGTATTATTTCGCGGACGCGGCCCGTCGCTCACTGAGTGAGTGTTTAGCCGTGTTTATATATCAGTTTAGTATAATGTCTCACGAAAGTTTGAATAATATAATTGCTTAATGTCGGAAGATTTATGAAAATTATGTTTAATTCTTGAAAATAATTATTTTGAATTACGTCTAAAAATACGAATAAAAAAAATAATTCGACAAATATCAGTTTTGAAGAGGAAAAACCAATTTTATTTTTTATATATTGCACATTTTACTAATATAAATGCGAATGGTTAGATAGATGGATGTTTGTTTGAAGTTATCTCTAAAACGACTGCATAGATCTTGATGAAATTTGGTATAGACGTAGAACATAGTTTGGAAAAACACACAGCCAACTAAATAAGTTTATTATAATACTGTGCGGACAGAGTCGCGGGCAAAAGCTAGTCATCTATATTATGCAATAAAAGTAATCTGACTGTAATAAAATATTTCATTCCGTACAGAGATCAAAGGATCTAAATTTATATATACTTAAGATCAAAGCTTTCAGACTCAGGTGTTTTACTCTCTATAGATATGAATTCATATTAAAATGTTATATCCCGTCTTACAGTGAAACGATCTTGAAAGCTAAATATCAATCGGCGATAAAGAAAACTAAGAAGGAGATGAAATCGTTTAACACATCCAATGCTATCGAATCGATATGCAAGTTCGTCATAACACTTAAAAATCGTAGTGGCATTAAACGTGTTAAAAATTCATAACAAATAAAAGTGATAAATTTTTATTATATAGTCTGTTAATAATTAACTTTTTTTTTTAATATTAGCAGATGTTTTTTGTAAATTTACTAATATTTCTTTTACCTTTCCAACTAAGCTCTAGACTTGTGCTAGGACATGGTTCACGACAATAGTCGAATGTCGGGATTCGAACCCCCGGCCTCGTGATCGGAAATCCGTACCCTTAACCAATAGGCTATTGACGCTTTTAAACAGTTAAGTATAATATTGAAAATTATATTTTCATACATATTTTATAACTGGATAGTAATTTCCACAAAAGTGCATGATGACATGAGAAAGCACTTGTGTGCAAAGTGACAAAATGTATCCCATTGCCAAGACATTTTGGCACGTCTGTTGAACAAGTTATATAACTTTGTAACTTAAATGTAGAAGTTACGAAGGAAGTGATATGGCTTATGTTTCAAGTTAAAGGTAACATTTACTTAAACTGAAGTGTCATAGAATTGTTAGTTTGCAAGAAAAATCTAGAAATAGACTTATTTTTTCCGCATAACCGCATTCTTCACTATGCGATTATATCCTTGACCTGGTTTTTAAAGACGCGTTGCCAAGCAACAAAGTTGGATAGGAAATAAAACTACCCCTTGCACTTTAAAGGTCACTCGAAGTCTATATATTTTCAGGGACAAAGATATGGAGCAGAAAATGCATTCATTTTATAAAAGACCGTAATTATAGAGTAAAATTTACTTCACGGTTTCAAAACTACCTTGAAAGCTTGCTAATGACTTGCTTGGTAAGCATAGAGATAAGCTTTAAGCTTACAGCTTTTGATTCTGCAGTGTTAAAGTTTTTTTGAACTAAATCTTACTAATATTATAAATGCGAATGTTTAGATGGATGGATGGATTGATGTTTGTTTGAAGGTATCTCCAGAACAGCTGAACGGGTATCGATGAAATTTGGCATACATGTAGAACATAGTCTGGAAGAACACATAAGTTACTAATTATGTCTATTAATTCCGTGCGGACGGAGTCGGGGGCGATATTAAGAACGGTATAATATTAAGAATCTAACCTTTTCTGCTAACGAAGGTCAATAGGGTGAATCTACCTTAGCTTTTTAATTGAGTTAATTGAAAAAGCTTCCTAAAAAACATTTTTCGTACACGTATTACATATATGTGAAATGTAGTTGGTATTAGTATGAGGGCAACACTATGTTAAGCTATTTTCTTTTTAGCAAGTTTGTGCTGACATCACATTATTAAAGATGTATGAGTTTGTATGTAACATAATGTCTATACAAATTAGTTACAATCGACAGTTCCGTGACCACTCGTGCGTCCATTTATTGGCATCTAGTCAATGTAACCTTTTCAATGCTTCGAGGACATAAAATGCTATTTAGGTCAATAGTCAAGGTCAAATATGACGACCGTGACGTCATAGTTCGTATATATTTATCTCATATTTATGTAGATTTTACAATTACAATGTTATTTTTAATATATTTTGTTCTTACGAAACTAAATGATATCGTTTTGATTTAGGGATATCTGACGAGGGGCTCTACCTTTATCCTTTACAGCTGATCAATTCCTATCACGGCTAAACCTTTTTGATACTTTATGATATTTACTATACTAATAGTTATAAGTATAAAAAAATCATACTGTGTTTATAAAGCTTTAATACTATCGACTATACTATTAACCCTTAATTCGACGAAATTTTTTGTATCAAAAAAACTGTGTTTTTTTAGTAAAGTCATACTTACTTCTCTAAACTAGTTCAGTAGATTTTTTTAATTAGTTGTTCGTCATACTCGAGACCATCGAATGAAAGGTTAATAAGACTAGTGTTTGCCAAAAAAATAACAGTCACATTTTCGGTGCTAACGTTTTCCTACTAAATTGTGATTCTTTTAAGGTATCTTGGAGTGCACACTTGTGTAAAGTGACAAGGGATAAGCTGCAAATGGCTTTGGACTAGAAACGAAACAGTCACGGATTTCATTCTAATAATAAATAGAATGTCGCTTGCAATTTGGTATCAATCTGGCCTCTGAATTTCTTACATAATTTCTGCATGTTTAGTAACCTTTGATTTGACAAATGAAGAATTAAAGAGTTACTAACTTTATAAATGCTAATGTTTAGATAGATGGATGGAGCGATGGATGGATGTTTGTTGAAGGTTTCTCCGGAACAACACAATGGATCTCCCTGATTTTGCATGGATGTAGTACATAGTCACTTAATTTTTTTTAATTCCGCGCGGACGGAGTCGCGGGAAACAACTGGTTTATTTATAAATGTATACGGTGTCGTCTACTCATAGTAATTGAACAAAATCATAAGACCTATTAAGATATAGTCTGCTATGAATGCTAAAAATATGTTATCAATAAATAATACACTAATAGCCCACTCATGGGAACACTTCGCCAGTCATATGGTTACGTGCAGCGGAGGGGTTGGATATTTTAACACTAAATTTAATTTCTCACGCCTCATTAGTAGTTTAAGATTTTATTAATTATATGTTAACTATCTTTTTATGCATGAAACTAATTAACAATTATTTAGAAATTAAATATATTCAAATTTAAAATCATTTTTAAAGATAAAATTAAATTTAATGATTTTGATAATTATTGTTTAATGATTTTCTCTCAAAATTATAATACATATTACGTATTTACATAGTATGTGGAGAGATCATCACATAAATAGCAAAGTAATGAGACTAAATGGGGATGGCTACAAAGGTAGAGGAATACCAGAGAAAGTACGGAGGTAGTACTTTTTCACAGAGCCCGCTTTAACATCTTCGCACGAATTGGCCCGGCTCGTCCGGTGATATACCACGACCACGCAGAACACAGGCGTGAAGTGGAACCAATTCCGCGTTTCGTCCGATGAGTGTGCGTCCCTGAGGCCAAATTTAGTCCTCTTTCCCTTCCCACCTTTTTTTCTTACAAGGAAAGAATGGGAAGTAGAAGTGGACTTTCCGGATGAAAGGATGCATGAAAAGGGAAGATATTTTTTCTTTCTGTGCACTCTTTCCTTCGTTGATTGTTGGTAGGCAATGCAAATGCAATTGCCTATGTCTATGGGTAACGGTCACTTCGCTATTTCAGCGATTTCTGGTGGCCGCTCGATCGTTTGCCACATTATTAAATAAAACAAAAGCTATGACGACTTTTATTACGGACAAGGGTTGATGGTCTAAGATAAATTATATGTTGAAGATAATTGAAATATAATAGTTACAATGTTTTTTTCATGGAGAATGAAAGAACAAATGATTTATTTTAGTGGTGTCAACAGTCTGGGTTTGTCAATACCTGGAAATGTTCCAAAAGCAACATGTCTGGATACAAATGTCAGACATGTCGCAGATTCTCAAAACAATGTCTGGGATAATCTTGTCATAGAAAACATTGGGACATGATTTCTAAATAAAAAACATTTTTTTTTCATACTGAGATTTTTAAGAATGATTTTTTAAGCCATAAAATGAAAATATAAGTATTTTTTTAGTTTTTTTTTATTTTTTCAAAGTGGCGAATGGGATGACTTATAGTAATATTTATATTAAATTTTTAACGTTTTATATTAACTATTAAAACGGTTCAATATATTAAGACTCAGCGCATAATCCCTGTACCTTAATAAATATATTTTACGGCCTTTAGGACTTACCATAAAATGCAATATTTCCCTATTACGACCCATAGACTCATAATACATGAGAAATGAGGGTTTGTAGTATCAAGTATGAAGTTAAATTGAAACATTATGTGTAAATTATATGTTAACTTAATTATTCAAAGAAAAGGCAAATAACATCATTTAATAGATTTTATTAGCTTTAAAAAAAATCAACCTTTGTATCACAGATTTTT